TGTTATACCATTTGTATTCGTGTATGAGATATTCAACCTATACATTATTATTCTTTTTACAGATTTTCTCATATTGATACTCATTTTAGCGTTCTTCGTAGATAGATAAATATCTCGTATTTATATCATTCATGCTTGGCGTATGAAACTTGAACGTTTTACTACTTTTATATCTCGACTTGAAACTTGAACGTTTAACTACTTTTATATCTCGATTTAAAATATTGTACTTTCTTGTAAAATCAAATGTTTATTTTGATATAAAAATCTTTAATTAATGTAAAATTAAAATTTAATCAAAGATAAATTTATCTCTCATTTCTCATATATTTAATAAATTTTATGCTTAAATATGCAAATGAGTCAGACTAAAAAAAGAAAAATTATTACAAGTGATATGAAAATATAGGCAATTATTTATTAAAATATATGATATGAAAATATAGTCAATTAAAAATAAAATATTTTTACCAAGTTTTGGAGACTAGGTAGGACTATTTATAGGGTAGGAATTGAACTTCTTGTTGCTTGTGATGCCCCTTACAAAAACTTTTGTAACACTCAAGTCAGGATTTAAGTATAATCAAACATTAGGAATTAATTGAGGATAAACTAAAAATATTATAATTCTTATGACCTTTTAAATCCCGTTATATTAAATCTCTCATGATAAAATCAAATAATATGTTATTAAAATAATAATTGACTTGAAATATATCAATTTAAACTGAACTAAAATCTTAATATTTTGAGTGTATAAATATTATTCAATTTTTTTATATTTAATATATATAGGTAGGTATCCAAGTCCCTCAATTCGGAGGTCAAAGTAAAACATTGAACAAGGTTAAGTCGTATAAGTTAGGATATAAATTATTATTTATTATATTATTATTGGTTTAAAAATTTTAAATACATATTTTAAGAAAAAAAGGGATTTTTATCTTGTTTCTTAATTATATGTATCAAACTTCTTTAGGCCATATTCAAGAACAACACAAAGAAAGATTATGTTATGATGAACACTTAATAATTTGTTATATATTTAAAATTGATTGGTAGATTACTTATATTTTAACATTATGATTTTAAAATCTTTATGAATGAATTATTGATTTTAACTTCATTTATTGCTAAAATATATTTTCATCCTTATTTTCTATTTTCTACTTTTCTCGAAAATGTAAAGGTTTAAGTGTGAAGTATTTAGATAAATACATTTTATCCATAATTTTATTAACATAATTAATATATAATTAGTATATTTAATTACTTAATTATTAATTATTAACATAGTTTTCATAAAAAGTAAATAAATATCTCTAGATTTAAATTATTGTTTAATTTGTATATTTTAGTTTTTTTTTTTGCAGAAATGATAAATTAATGAAAAAAATATAAAGTTTTAGATTGAAGAGTTGCTCAATAGATTGTTTTTAGATAACTCATTTCAAATTTTGTGAATATGCTAAATGAATATGTATTTTATTGAGCAAAGTTATCATCTTCAAACAACTAATTTAACTACTGATTTACTCGAGAGTAAAAGTAAATGTCCAATGAGTTTGTCATAGAACCTAAATTAAGTAGAAACACGATTCAAGTTTGATTTGATGCAATTGAATAATTATGGGTCTTGAATGAGTCATGCCCCAATCATGGCCCTTGAAGAAAATATCTTGTGTAACATCCTCATTGGGTATATTAAACTAGGTAGGAGCCATTGTGTCCATGCCACATATAGCTATGAAGTTTTCAATAAAGGGTGGTGTCATCGCCACCATTAAGGAAAACCTTAAGAAGGTATGAGAATGTTATGCCTTAAGTTTGAAAATATAATCATACACATTATTACTTCTAATTAAAGGGGGAATTTATGTCCCCTCATCCTCCGTAGAGAGTATATCAATAGTATAACATTGAAGAAGTGGTAGATGATACACATTGATTATTTCAAAAGGGTGAATTTATGTCCTCTTATGTTCAGTAGAAAGTATATCAATAGTATAACATTGAAGAAGTGGTAAATGTTGATCCATGATATGAAATTGAAGATAGTCTCCTAAGTTTCAATGGTCAAATTTTTGACTTCTAGATTAAAAAAGAACCAAAACAAGTGACACATATGTAGATAGCCTCATACATGAGCGATTAGAAAAAGTACTCAACAAGAATGTCAACCACTTTACATGGTGTACGATTGATATGTTAACTATAGATTTTGATTTTATTTGTCATAAACTTGTTATTTTACCCATATTTTGAATACGGGATCGGATGATTGGTTTAGCTAGTTTAACTAGGAATTAATATGTTGCTTCCAAATAACCATATTTTAAATAAACTGGGACAAAATCGAAAAAATCAATTTGATTTTTGATTCAAACCGATTTTGATAAAAAAAAATTAAAGATAAAAAGTTTTTAATATAATTTTTTTTATAAAAAATATAATATAATATAACTTTTTTATCTTGTACTAATTACGTCAATTTTAAATAATATTTAATTTATCATATTTTTGTCTATTTTTAATAATTATTCATCTTTCACTTTTTAATATATTTTATAATTATAATATTGTAACATACAGTGACCACTACAATAATTTTTATTAATATTTTTAAAACATATTTATTATATATTTATTATATTATAAAAATATTATTTTATTAAATTTGATTGAATTAATTTATTATATTATAAAATATTATTTTATTAAATTTGGTTGAATCTTTAACTTTTTTAACATGTCTTCAATGATTGAGTGACCAATTTAATTTTAAAAACATTAATTTTACTTTAATTTAATAGAAAAAATATAAATTAGGAGAAGAAAGACGTAGGATAATAGAAGAGAAGGTTAGAAAGTTATTAAAAGTTGGCCTCATGCGATATACGCATATACAACATTGTTAGTTAATATTAAATTAAAAAAATAATAATAAAAAATAGCACAGATTTAAATAAAATCTACCTAAAAAAATATCAATTAATTAATCGGTAATAATGGTGATGCGTATTAGCTAATTTTTGTTATAAAGTTTTTTTTTTAATTTATTTAAAGAATGTAGTAACTATATACCAAATACTAATGAATAAAATATTCAAAGGTCTTATTGGAAACATAACATGGGACATAACATGCATTAATATAATTAATGCAGAAATATGTTAGACAGAATTAATTTAATTTTTATAAATTCATAAAATGTTTTCAAGCTTTAAGAGATTTTTTAATTTACATTCCTAATTGCTTTTCAAGTCTATAATTTTATTATTCTAAAATAATATTCCAAAATTTAAACACAATCCACCAGTAAATGTTCCATTTCCAATCAACCTTTATTTTAATTTTATAGTTTTTAATAAATTTGAAACAAAAGATGAACTAAGATTAGAAAAATATATTCCTCAACACTCTTCCACATATGCTGAATTCTGAACAGGTGAAAAGTGAAAAGTTGTGAAATTTTCTGCGTCCGTACACTGGGATAATTGGCACGACAAAAAGTGTCTAAGATTGTCATGTCGCATCTTCATCTCATCTTCTTCAAAAATCTACCGTTTTGCTGATTACTGATTAGTTCAAGCTTTCAACTAATCATAGGAATTTCGTTTTCCAGAAAGTAAAATCAAACCAAATCACAGTGTTTAATCAAAATCATAGTTTCATAATAAATCTCACATAAGTAGCACATACTTCTATTCTTAATTTTACTAATTAAAGTTTAACTTTTGCTTCTTTATAAAGGTTTTTGAACGTTTTTCTAAAACAGCTCAAGTTTACTCTAATATTATTTAAAAAATTGTTTTAATTACTGTTAGCACTTTTTTTACATTATTAATTGATTAACCTTATTTTAGATTACTATTAAATTTATTATAAAAATAATAATGATTTTATTATGCAAGATAATTTGTGATAAGTTAATAATGTAATTTTTTAAATTATCAATATATTTAAACTAAATTCTAATCTTTAACCCTTGGAAAAAAACATTTTTGACCGCGAATGTATAGTGTAGAAAAGAAAAATATAGTTTAAATGGGTTATCATTAGAAAAAATGAATTAGTTTGTGCTTTTTACTAAAACCTACTAAGTTTTAAAAATTAAATATTTTTACTATTATATTTATTCATTTTTATAATTTTCTACTTCTTTATATTAAATCAATTATTTTGAATTTTATATTTCCTCTCTACCATATAGTTTTTGTTAGAATAACTTTACTAAAACAGTAAAAATTGGGAAGAAGTGAATCACATAACACGTTGACTTGCTTAACAAAGTTTTTTTTATTTATCTTTCTCTTTCTATTTTCGTAAACACATCCTACATTCATTATATATTTTTGTGTTATACGAAGATAATAAAATGTTAGAAAGATTTTTTTTTCTCCTATATTTAATACCCGACGGTACGGTAACTGAATGTTCTTCCCAAGAAAATGTAGATAGCATAAAGAAAAAAATTAAGAAAAAAAAAAACTTTCGTTTTCTAGTTGCTTCCATACGGCATTTGCAATAATGAATTAGTACGTCACGACCTGTACCATTTAGTTTACTTTAGATATTCTAGTTTAATAAATAAAAAATATGTTAAAATATTTTATTAATAATAATGTAATATTTTCAAATTAAATAATATATTAATAAAAAATTTAAATTTATTTTTTAAAGTTAAAATATCATATACATATAATTATTTTTTATAAAATTAAAATTACATATTTTTCGAAAATTACTTCAATAAAATGGATTTAAATTAAAAAAAAAAAAACAGAGAGAAGAGTGGGAGAAGGAGAGAATTGTGATTGAGTGATGGGTGGTGGCAGTTATAAATAGCACCCAAAGAGACAAAGGAAACAGAATAGAAAATCAACACACCCACCTCCCATTCAATTGTTTCTCTTTCGCACACACCAAATCACTCCACCCGTGCGTGCGTGCGTGTGTGTATTCCACTCTCTCGTCGTTTTAGTCTCAATAGATTCGGTATGGGGAGTTCCATTCTTGACGCTCTGAACGTGCGCGTGGAGGGATCCGGCGACAAGTACCTGGTTCTGGCACACGGCTTCGGCACGGACCAGTCGGCGTGGCAGCGCGTGCTCCCCTACTTCACGCGCCACTACAGCGTCATTCTCTACGACCTGGTGTGCGCCGGCAGCGTCAACCCCGACCACTTCGACTACCGCCGCTACACCACGCTCGACGCCTACGTCGACGACCTACTCAACATCCTCGATGCCCTCCGCGTCACCCGCTGCGCCTACGTCGGCCACTCCATCTCCGCCATGATCGGCATGCTCGCCTCCATCCGCCGCCCCGACCTCTTCTCCAAACTCATCCTCATCGGCGCCTCCCCCAGGTGCCAAACCAAACCCTCTCCTCATCCATCACTTCAATTATCTTCTACTTTGGTCAATTTTTTAAGTACTTAGTCTCCAATTTGAAATTTGGATGAGCTAGTTTGTTCTTGTAGAACTAGTATGTCTCGACTGAAGTTACGAAAATTTATATAACTCCTCTTATTTTCTTAACCTTCTTTCTTTATAATCAAAATTCATAGGTATTCATTGAGATTTGTGAAATGACTTTGTCAAAATTTAGATCAAACATGAGCTGAGATTATTGTAAACAACTAAATTATTTTAAGAGATGTATATATATAATTGGAACTGAAATTCAAAGGTTTTCATTGATCCAACAAACTTGATAATTCATACTAATTTATGTTGTTTGAGTTGAAAAGACTGTTACAACTGCAAAACTCTGTCTCAGATTGTGAAATTGTTTTATGTTTGGCTTCAAACTTAAAGAGGTAATTAAGACTATTGCTATAATCGACCTACATGTGCCGCCTCAAATGGAAAGCCTAATTATCAACATGTCTCTATTTCAAGGGTCACCGAGTTTAATGGCATTAGCATAAAATTTAGACACTGCTCTCACGTGATAATGACACATGTATCAGGAAAACCTGTATCTGATCTACCATCTGCGAAAACTTATCGCTCATAGATGCATTCACATGATAATGATATACAGGTTGCAGGAAAACCTATATCTTTTTATATGCTAAAACATGTCTTGGATCAACAATTTTAATGTAGTGGGGTTGAGAAATCTGTCACTTTTGAATAGAAAACCTGTTGAAAAAAAACAGGACTTCGAATCTTTCAAATAAAAAAAGGGGATGCGCTGAAGTTTCATCCACGAACACAAGTGGAATTGAAAGCATAAATTAGACGTTGACCAGTCATCAAAGAGTTTGGTCCAGAATGAGGTTAACTGCAAGCAGAGTGTTGATTTGAAAGGGTAATTTAGCCGAAAGAGTTTAGGATCATGTAATGTCTTACGAATTAATTTAATGACAGTAATTAGAATTCTTACTAAGGTTTCAATCTTGTCAGATTTCTGAACGACAAGGACTACCACGGGGGATTCGAACAGGGAGAGATCGAGCAGGTGTTCTCCGCAATGGAGGCGAACTACGAGGCGTGGGTCAACGGCTTCGCGCCGCTAGCGGTGGGGGCGGACGTGCCGGCAGCGGTGCGGGAGTTTTCTCGGACGCTGTTCAACATGCGGCCGGACATCTCGCTGTTCGTGTCGCGCACGGTTTTCAACAGCGACCTGAGGGGGATTCTGGGTCTGGTCAGCGTCCCATGCTGCATCATGCAAACGGCACGTGACATGTCCGTGCCGGAAACCGTGGCGAAATACATGAAGGAGCACATCGGCGGGAAAAGCACCATCCAGTGGCTGGACACGGAGGGCCACCTCCCGCACCTGAGCGCTCCGTCGTACCTGGCTCGGCAGTTGGAGATTGCGCTCTCGCAGTAGCGCGTGGAAAGAAGGGTGGCGCGTGGGTGCGTGTGTCAGTGTGGTAGTTAATTAATTAAGTAATTAAGTGATGATGTAGTAGTACAAGGGTAGTGTAGAAGCTACAACAGAAGGGTGGGGTCCTAGAAGAAGTGTACGAATGGCTCCAAAAGTGGACACCTGGCGAATAACGTGTGGGTGTTGTTGGTTCTTAGACTTTGGGATTTTTATTTAAGGATAAGAATCTGCACGTGGATATCACGTGATGCGTCCCATTTTTAGTAATATTTATTTCTATCAAACACTGTTATATAACTAAAACATTCTCTCTCTTTTTTCACTATAATTTATTAAATCTCACAAAGTTTTGAGACCTGTTCAAATTTGAGATTTTTAATAAATTTTAGCAGATGATAAGAGAATGATTTTATGTTTTTTGTGGTTCTCTCCTATTTTTTGAGAGTTAAAAATAGATGAAAAAAATGAGAGACTTGTTTATTAGTGTGATTGTTACTGTTGTTATTGTTATTATTAATATTATAATATTGTTATAGAAGGTGTTGTTTTGATTTTTTGTTGTCTCCTGTTTGTTACTGTAATGAACATGAATTTTGATGACGGTAGAGAAGTGAAATGATTTTCAATTATTTGATGAGACCCACGTACGGCACTTTCACAAATCATAATGGCTTATCCACTATGCTATCTTCGACAACGTGGCTGGCCCACTTATTCTTGGGCTTTGGACTTGGCCTTTATTGAGGATTTTTTTATTTATTTATTTTTCATGTTAGGCTTCTCTATTATTTATTTTTATAGTTTGCCAGAAAATACACGTTTTTTTTATATATATATATATATATATATATATATATATATATATATATATAATATTTTCATAAGCATATTATAAAGACATGTTGAAGATAAAACCTGCTTTAAGTTAAGTTGAGATATGATAGCGTGAATATTGAATGACATTATATGTTAAAATGTATTTATAATTTGATGGGATAAAAATAATTGATTAACTAAATTATAGGTTTGTATAATGGTATAAAATATTGAATAATAAAAAATTTATTTATTTAGTCCTAGAGTAAAATATTATAAGATCTTGTGTACAAAAATAATATGAATAAAATTATAGAATGTATTAAGGTTCTAACATAAAATCAATTGACAATATGTTGAGTAGTCTAACATGTATTTAAATCATACCAAATGACATGAGATAAGCGATGTGGAACTTTCAACACGTCTCCTCTAATGAAGTATGCCGGACCAGGCAAATGGTACTTTTGACCAAACAAAACGACAACTTTTTGCTCATGACAATAACATGAAAGATGTTAGACTTTGACTCTAATACCATGTTAAGGTTCCAACATAAAACCAATTGGCAATATGTGGAGTAACCTAATATGTATTAAATCATACCAAATGACATAAGGTAGGCGATGTGGGACTTTCAACAGAATGAATTCTATATTTTTTAATTTGGTATTAGAACTTATAATTTTTTTCTTTTTCTTTCTAAATCCTTTGAGATCTTAACAGGAGAGATGACAGAAAAATTAATTCCAGTAGTTGTTCAATCTGAAGGTGTTTTCAACATATGCATCATTCTAAATGAATCCAATTATGACGTATGATCACAACTAATGGAGATGCATATTGTAGAGAGGGAAAAATTGTCCTACATCCGTGGGAAGGTGAAACCTCCAACAGAGAAAAATGAGGGATATGAAAAGATGGCTACTGATGTCCATGAAGCAAAAAATCATGAAAAAATATATTCGCTTACTCACTGCCCTCGATATTTGGAATACTTTGTCAAAGGCGTTTTATGATGGAAGTGATGAGCTACATGTGTTTGTCCTGAATCAAAAGGCATTCACTGCAAAACAAAATAATAGAACCTTAATTGAATATTATGGGAAGTTGGTTGATATTTTTAGGGAATTAGACCATCGTGACAAAGTAGTCATGAAGGACCCTGATGATGTGAAGTTATGTCAGAAGTCTATTGAAAGATTAATGGTGCATATATTCCTTGATGGACTGGATGATGATTTTGAGCAAGTTCGTTGAAAAATCTTGCACAAGGAAGTGATACCTGATTTAGAAGAATGCTATGCATTGATTCGGAGAGAGACAGTCCGACGAACAACGTTGAAAACAGAAGATATGATTTCTGATTCCACAACTATGATGATAAAGAAGCAACCAACAAATCATTACAGCAAATCAAAGTAATCAAAATATTTTGAAAAAGGTAACTACAAGTGTACTAAGGATGGACACACCAGGAGCGATGTTATGAAATCATAGGATACTCCGAGTGGTGGGTTCACAGTCGATCATCGAAGAAGAATTAAAAAAGAAATCCAACTGTTGTTGCTGTAACTGCCATTGACAAAGAGGACGACAAAGGCATGATGCTTGCTACAATCGCAAGTAGTGATGATTCCAATGGTAAGACTTTAATAAGCACATCTACCGTTCTGAATAATTTATGGATAATTGACTCTACATGTTCTGATCATGTGACTTTTGATGTTAGACAGATTAAAAACCTTAAACCTTCCTCACAAAAAAAGTATTTTCACAGCCAATGGTAGTAAATCCACTATCATTGGAGAAGGAACTGTCTCTATTTCAAACAATTTGAACCTTGATATTGTCCTTGTTGTTCCTTCTCTTAAATATAACCTATTGTGAGTCTCACAAATAACCAAAGCTCTTTTATGTGTTATAATTTTTGGGTCTGACTCTTGTGTTTTTAAGGACATTCAAACGAGGAAGATGATTGATTGTGATATTAGGTGAAGAAGGTTGTATTACCTGGACCTGACAGAAAAAAAATTCAAAGAGACTTGGTCAAGTGCTAGTAACAATAGAGTCTCAAGAAGTAAGAAAAGGTGAGGATATTTGGTTATGGCATAAGCGTCTAGGACATGCATCTTTTGGTTACATAAAGAAATTATTTCCAAATGTATTTGACCAAGTAGACACTTCAACTTTTTATTGTGATGTTTGTGAGCTTGCAAAGAGTCACAAAATATATTTTCCTTTAATTTCAAATAAAAGTTTTTTTCCTTTTATGATCATTCACTATGATGTATGGGGTCCATCTAAGGTTACAACGTTGGGTGGCTCAACGTGGTTTGTAATATTTATTGATGATTGTACTCGAATGACTTGATTATGTTTGATGAAGTCTAAAAGTGAAGTTGGAGGACTATTTCAAAAATTCTGCAAAATGATTGAGACCCAATACAAAGCACAAGTTCAAGTACTGTGTAGTGAAAACGGAGGAGAAAATATGCAATTAGAACTTTAACATTTTTTAGTAGACAAAGAAATTGTTCATCAGATATCTTGTCCAAATACTCCACAACAGAATGGGGTGGCAGAAGGAAAGAACCGTCATCTATTGGAGGTGGTCTGAGTTACACTGATTGGAGCTCACATACCAACAATATACTGGGGAGAAACTCTCACATATGTAGTATAGACTATCAACCGAACATCGTCCAGATCTCTTGAGTATAAAACACATCTTCAATCACTTACAAATGCAGTAGTAAGTCCTAAAATTGTTGAACTAACACATAGAGTTTTTGGTTGTGTTGCTTATGTTCACTTACACAAGCATCAGAGAAGTAAGTTGTCTCCTAGAGCTGAAAGGTGTGTGTTCCTTGGCTATGTGGATCACCAAAAAGGATATCGGTGCTACAATCCACAAACCAAGCAAATGTTTACTATTATAGATGTAGTTTTTCATGAAACCTTGATATATTTTTCCCCCGAGTTTGAAATTCAGGGGGAGAATTATGATGAAGTTCAGACTTTTGTTCCTTAAGAAATTGATATTGAGGTCAGATTGGAGAAAGAAAGTTGCAAAGTTGTATTAGGAGATGATGAAAGTGTGCAACAATGTGATGATCAACAACCACATAATGAAAAAGATTTTGAGCATGTCGAGATCGAAAATTTTCCTATTGATGTTGATGATATACCACACCAATCATCCCCTCAAGAACCTAATACGGAAAAAAAGAATTCTTCTAGATTGTGTCACTAGAGGTATCCCTAAGCCTACTTATGATCCTGACCTCACCAGTAAGACAAGATATCCTATGAGTAATTATATTTGTAACTAGAATTTGTCTAACTCAAATATCACATTTATAAGTCAATTATCTATTGTATATATTCCTAACAGTGTGCAAGAAGATTTAGTTGACTCCAGGTGGAATGATGCTATGAATGAGGAGATGAGATCCTTGTAAAGAAATAAAACATGGGAATTGGTATATTGTCCAGTTGGAAAGAAACCAGTAGGGTGCCGATGGGTGTATACTATAAAATTTAATACAGATGATACAATTGAGAGATTCAAAGCTAGATTAGTGGCAAAGGGGTACACACAAGCATATGAAATAGATTACACTGAAACGTTTGCTCCCATAGCCAAAGTTAGTAAAGTTCGAGTATTGTTATCTCTAGCTGTAAACCTTGATTGGTCCTTACAACAATTTGACGTAAAAAATGTCTTCTTACACGTGGAATTGTCTGAAGAAGTTTATATGGAGCTACCAGAAGGATGTGGGATCCCAAATACACATAGCAAGAAGGTATACAAGTTGAAGAAGTCAGTGTATGGACTAAAACAATCGCTACGAGCATGGTTTGGTAGATTCACCAAGTCAATGCTTGTTTTTGGATATCAACAGAACAACCAAGATCATACCTTGTTTCTAAAGAAAAAGGAAGGAAAGATTACAATTCTTATTGTCTATGTTGATGACATGATAGCTACGGGAAACGATATAGAGGAACGCAAGGCATTGAAAGAATACTTGGCAAAGGAATTTGAGATGAAGGATCTTGGTCCTTTAAAGTATTTTCTTGGAATTGAGGTCTCAAGATCAAAGTCAGGTATTTTTCTCTCACAACGAAAGTATGCATTGGATTTACTGAAAGAAACTGGAATGACAACATGCAAACCAACA